TATATACCTTTCCAACCAAAGAATGTAAAAAAGCTATTTGTATGAGTACTATGGAAGAGAGGAAGAGACAGACTGTCAGAATGAAAAGTGTCTGTGTTGTACTGTCATTTTTCTAATACAGCCTATGTAATGATGGCAGATAATTGGATGCTTTGGCAAGACAGACACTTTCATTTCAGGTCTTTTCAGACATTATGCATTATATGAGATTGTTCATCAGTATCCAGTTGTTCATGTATCATAATGTGCTTAAATCACCTTTTCTCCTTTGAAGCGCATTAGTCCATCTGGACCAGGAACATCCTGTGTAAATAAATAGATTTCATTATACTTAATTACCAATACTGTGTTTCATAATTAACTCTAAGTCTATCAATACTAGTTTACAGTGTATTATACTGAATTATACCTTCGATCCACACTTTTGTTAATTTACTGCAGTGTTTTCAAACCCCCTGGCAGTCATTTACCACTGCATAAACGTTTGCAATATCTGAGTAATGCCTGATCACAAATGAAGGAGGGTTTGCAGGATGAATATAAGGCCTGTCTACAAAGCAAAGCTATATCTGTCAGCTTTATGTTGCTCCTATCCCCCTGATTTTCAGGTGCATCCCCTTTTTAATACACTGCTCACACATAGATAGCAGCATCCAAACAGTTCACCGCTTAGACCGGTTTGAGGCTTATGCGAACAGCCACTTTTGGTTGGTTGTTTCAAATGCTATGTTCCTTCTGGTCCTCATCAGGTTCCATTGGTGTGGTTATTTTAATCACAATGACAGCTGCCACAACAAGACGATGATTTAATTTACCTACTGATAACATTTGTTACTGTGGGTCTACCCCAAGGAGATTTACCTGCCAAAATATGGATATCTGCCAACAGCAGTTTTGGGAAATATTGCGTTTTTTGCCTGTTATTAATTTATTTTATCTACAACTTATGTAAATGCATAATTGTATGTTTCTAGCAAAATAATATATGCAGCAGTAAAACTATTTTCATTTAGGTAAAGTTTCCAAAACACTTCCAACTAGCATTTCAGATATAAATGACTAAGCAAATCCCAGATTCTCTAAATCCGGCAGATAAAAACCCCTTATGCCA